AGTTGTCCATCTGAGGGGCAGGTGTGTAAAAGAAATTTAACCATGAAATGTTTAAGATTTTTATAAGACGTTCAGCTCTTAAACATTTGCACTTAGAATTTTATAGAATCACTTTAAATACTTTTCAGTAAGTTATAGATCTTGTACAGTTCTGGTTCAAATAAAGAACTTCATGTTTACTGGATTGTTAACTAATTATTTTCGAAAATAACCTGTAAAACTCTGATGTTAGGCGATGTGGTTGAAAATTTGGGTGCACCTAACTTTTGTGCTGGTGCGCCTAAGAAAAAAATGTTAGGTGCACCAGTGCAACCAGTGCAAAAAGTTAGTCTGGAGCCCTATTAATGTTAACTGAAAGTGTCCACTTCCAACACGCACTGTTTTCTGACAAATTATAGACAGTTGGCTACATCATGATGTGATCAGTCACTGAAAAGTCAAATGGAAGGACACTTCTACTTCAGTCTGCATTTTACTTTCGGTGAAATGTTGCCATACTTTTTAACAAGTTTTGACATTTATTTATACGAAAATTACCGGCGATAATTTCTTAACACGCGTTAACGCAGTTTCTTTATATTTCTCCGTCTGATCTCTGTTCTCTGTGCTGCCTGTGAAGACGCACACACACAGACACACACAAACCCAGTGGTCCCTGCAGGGTGGCAGGATCTTGATCACTATTGGCTTTAGATAGCCTTTATCCCGTGTCTCATCCAATGAGAGGCTTTGTTGTGGAGCGTGGCAGCCACTCACATGAACCCGAGCCACAGTCAGGGAGGAAACATGCCTGAAGCCGCCGGATTCTTCAGGGCATCTTTTATTTTAAAACTTTTCCCAACGGTAGGCTGGGAGGAAGTAAAGTTATCTGTAAGCACTGCAACGCTAAACGATCTCACCACCAGAGCCGTTTGAGCCTGAAACATCACTTCAGTTTAAAACCAGGCTAACAGAGGGAGGTTCTGCTGACCAGAGTGTGGGAGAAAAAAGAAAAAAGTCAGACTGGCTTGATTTGCCTTATTTGTTGAAAGGTTTTGAAAATGCATTGCCCCTTTTTATTTAAACAATACCTAAAATGCTCTAAACATATTGGAGTCATTTAAATTGTGTGCAGAATAATGAAATTAAACCAAGAATTCAAGGATTTTTTTGTCATTCCAAATGAGTATTATGAGGAATGGAAGATAGATGAGGCCCCTGTTCGGAAAAAATACAATAAGCAATAAGAAGTTAAAATGAAAAACAAAAGAAAAACTGTACATAGTGTGTCACACATGTGTTGCAACATACAACATACACATTCAGCCATAGCAGAGTGATAGTTTAAAAAAAACTAACAGTTGAGAACAGTCATGATTATTTGCAAAAATATCTTGAGATTAATCGCGATTAAAAAATTTTAATCAATGCCCATCACTTACATTTATTTATTTATTTGTTAATTGTTTAGGGGTGCAACAATACATTGAATCATTCTGAAGAAATTATTGGTATCTGCTTATATACTGATCTTAATTACACTACACATGGTATAGTCTTATTAGGAGAACTGTAATAATTATGTCATGTATGGAACAATACAGATTTTTAACATTTATTTTATCAACTTGTCTTCTGAAGATGCTCTGTGTTGAAGGATCAGTGGATCTGTGTTTGACTACTCCACCTAGGCTGTATTTTTGAGCACAGGTCCACTGAGAAACTTGCTGTTTCAGCAACATTTAATTTAAAAACTGTACTTTTGAGATTAAACCAATGTTCATAATTGATTTCAATAAATTACAAGTTAAGAAGGGAGTGGACTTTTTTTGTATCAAAAAAATATCGAACCGTGAGACTCAAGTATCGAACTGAAACCAATGGTGACTTGTCTGTGTCGTTGTACCCCTATTTTTTACCTGCCATGATCCTCTTTCCATTCCAACATACTGCCTCCTTTTCTATCAAGTTTTCAGGCTGGTACGTTCTTATTAGTAAAGCATGCCACCACATCAGACAATAAAGCAGTTCATGCATTGCATTATAGTTACAAATAAACATTTATTTGGTTAAATAACACAACACATCAACACTGAAAATGTCCACTAATCGTTGCAGCCCAAATAAATAAGGTTGATGATGTGTGTAAACTAGAGCTGCCACAAACGATTATTTTTATAATCCATTAATCACCGATTTATTTATTCGATTAGTCGACTAATCAGATCATACGTTAATTGAATATAAAACATGCAGCTTATCGTGCCAGAATGCAGCTGCTATTATATAACCATGGTTAGATTTTAGCTATATGCTAACTAAAAATAATTGCTGTGGAAGGTAAGTTCTGCTCTGCAGATATTACACAGGTTTCTCTTTCATTTTCTTAAAATGATCCCACACTTTGAGCTCTGTCAGGTAGCCATGATACCAGAGCCTGTCTGTATAATGTCTTGTGACGTCCACGGCCTACCCCAGTTACCACTACTGTGCATGTGTGTCAAGGACAGAAAGGCAGATGTGGCAGTGGAAGGTGTCAAAGCAGTTTGGAGAGTAAAACAAAGTAAAGAACAAAAAATACAAAAAACGATTAATCGATTATTAAATTAGTCATCGATTATTTTAATAATCGATTAGTCGTCGATTAATCGATTAATCGTGGCAGCCCTAGTGTGAACGAGACATATTATTTTATTTTGCTATAGTTCTGTCTCACATATAACATTGGTCCTGTTCTTCTTCCTTTAGGTTTGGACTATGTGAGCCATGAAGACATCCTGCCTTATAACTCTACTGAGCAGATCCCAATTCAACATGAACTCTTTGAGCGCTTCCTCATGTACAACCCTGCAAAATGTAAACTTTATTCTTCGGTCTTTTAGTGCTGCTTTTCTACACAAACCAACACTGCACCAATTCACTGAATTAAATATGCCAGTTTGTTTATCAAATAAGAACATCTAGATCAGATTAAACATTTTCATGAATCACCCTTAATGGTTTAACAAAGCAATTCACAGCAGATGAATATCAAACACAAGAAAAGCAACAAGCGAGCAGTCAAGAACTACATACAAGATGATTTCCTTTTAAGTTGTAAAATAATTAAATGAATGGAGACTCTTTGATGAAAGAACTGAGGATCTGCTTTCTGCTGCTTTTGCACAATGAAAAGTCCTCAGCCAAACAACTTTGTTTAGAGCATTTCAGTATTTCTCCACAGTTTCTCCACCTGCTTTAGCTGGTTTAGTTGCAATTTTTTTAGGTTTAAGTTTATTGTTAGCCAATATTGAACCACACTGAATTTAAGAAAATAAAAAAAGACGGCTGTGTTTTAAGTAAATATTTTTGTTTCGTCTTTCTTTCGACACCAAAGCTCCTCCGTTCACAGCCAGAGACACTCTGAAGGCGTGGCAGGAGAAGAACCACCCCTGGCTGGAGCTGTCAGACGTCCACAGAGAGACCACAGAGAACATTAGAGTCACAGTTATCCCCTTCTACATGGGAATGAGGGTAGGTGAATCTGTTGTTACATTGTCATACACACTGCTTGGTCAAATAAAGGTCACTATCTAATGTTTTGTTGGGCTGCCTTTAGCTTTGATTGTGCTACTGGTTTGCTGTGGCATTGTTTCCATAACCAGGGGCGTCACAGTGGTTCTCAACCTTTTTAGACTTATCCCCCTGAGCTATTTTGTCATACCACAAGTACCTCCTCTGTCAAACGTAATTATGATTTTTTATTTTTACTTTTACTTTTTTATTTAACCCCCTAGAACATTTAATTCTCAGGCATTTTATTCTTTTCAACTTAAACATAAAGATAAATATGTTGCCTTGAAAGTGAATTAAACCAGGTAACGGCAGGTGCAGGAATCAGCAGCATACAAAATACATCAAATACCCCAAATGAGCAAATTCCTTGAGATTTCCCATTTTATACAGGATTCCATTTTATGTCAGTTTTGTGATTCCGTTTGCATTTTCCACATTGTGGAAATTATAGGGCCCTACATATCTCAGTCCTATTTTTATTTTATTTTTTTACACACCTGGGAAATTTTTCCATGTACCCCCTGTAATATGCTTGCATACCCCAAGGGGTACATGTACCCCTGGTTGGGAAACTGATTTATCAGAGTGCAAAGCTTTCATATTGGAAGTTACCGTAGAGATGAAAGTGCAAAAGTATGCACACAGAAATATTCAGAAATATTAAATCATGCACATGCATGTTCCTGTCCTTTCATTCATACTTCCCAATGAACTAGAAACTGAGCGGATGTCAGACTCCATCATGGGGACCATTTTCCAGAAAAACACAGCCTTGTGGGTAGGGATGGGTACCAAATTCGATACTTTTATAAGTACCGACTGAATTCTGTCTGTACTACCGAGAACCTATTCACGTAACATGTTTCGGTACCTAAATGCATCATTATGACCATGTTGGCATAATGGTGGTTTCACACCAAACGCGTTTTGAGCTGCAGGAGCAGCCAGTTCACATGCAAAGTCTATGGCGCCTCTAGGGGTCGTGCGGCGCGCATGCATGAGTTGCGTTGAAAGCAGCCGACGTCAGAGTTCAAAAATCTGAACTTTCGCCGCTCGATACGTCTTGACAACCTATCAGAGACTCATTTTTCCACGTGATAGTTTCCTGAATGTTGCCCACTAAACCAAAACAGATAGACAGGAGAATTTTAGCTGAAATCGACCGTCTGTAGTTGGATTTTCTGGCAGGATATATCAGTACTGATGTGGGTCAGCTGCTCGGGACAAAAAGGGAAAGAAAAAAAAAACGGCGTCAGCTCGCAGCTTCTGGAGTGGCGAAACTAACCGAACAAATCACCTCTAAATCATCTGGTGAATTAATTAACTGCTGTGCACAACGTTCGCTGTCAAAGGTACCCATCCCTACTTGTGGGGACTAAAGCTTGGTTATACTCGACCTGTGCATGTGCAAGACTGATCATTCAGTACTTGAGGCACATCTGGGATTCATTGAACCGTAGTTACAGTCGTAACTTTAGTTTTCTTGTGGCTACACAGTTGTTTAGTCCTAACCCCTTGGCCCTGTGTGTGTGGAAATGCTCTTATTTTGACTATTAAACATAGTCATGGGATTTACTGTTGCTTTTCTATGATTTGATTTAATCAAACTTTTAAGTGACTGATCATGCAAGATTTATTATTCTGATCACATTCCTTCCTCAGTGATGTTTCTCCACTGTCCTTCCAGTTTTAAGTGCTGCGTTGGACCTGATTTCTTTAGTTTCAGCAATCTTAGATGTTTTTTTTTGTGTGTGTGTGTGATGCATGCCAGTAGTTGAACACTTCTGAGCTGATTAACATCTTTTCCACAACCACAGGATGTGTCTTTTAGTATGGTTCTTTGAAATGAGTAGCTGCTCATTGTATCATTTAGGGTTAAACAACTTGTTGCTTGCTGAAACATAATCACCCATGCAGTAATGATCCATTGGGAGGCTCTTAAGTATTTGCTTAGTTGAACCCATGTTGAACCTGCATGTTGAAATGTGGTGACTTTTTTTGTGCCAGGCAGTGTAGGTCGTTATGTTCATATACTTTGTTGCACATGTGTCAGTACAGCGGAGCTATACAAATTTTATTTGTATTTTTATTTATTATTTTATTTTTATTTATATAATGCCAAGTCACAACATACGTTGTCTCAGGGCACTGTACATAAAAAAGAACAATGTAAAGAAAAAAACAGCAGATTGTGTTGAATCACTTCATCACAGTCTCCCATCCTGAGCAAACGGTGGAGAGGAAAAACTCCCTGCTAATCAGGAAGAAACCTCCAGCAGAACCAGGCTCAGGACAGGAGACCATCTGCCTCGACCAGCTGGTTGAGGGACAGGATTGTGAAATGTGCTCAGTTTAGTGTTTTACACATTTGGGCGGCTGTGGTAGAGTGGTTAGGAGAGTCGTCCTGTAACTGGAGGATTGCCAGTATGATCCCCTGTTCCAGCTGTCTCAGTTGTTGTGTCCTTGTGCAGGACACTTCATCCTCCTTGCCACTGATGGTGTTCAGAGTGGTGGTGGTGCATGGCAGTCCCTCTGTCAGTGTGCCCCAGGGCAGCTGTGGCTACAGTGTAGCTTACCCCCTTCAGTGTGTGAATGACTGTAGTGTAAAGCACTTTGGGGTCTGATGGGGCTTGATAAAGTGTTACATAAGTTCAGTCCATTTGAGTTTTTCTGTATAGATTTTTAGTTTTTTTTATTTGGTTTATTTAAAACTTATTTTCATTTTTTTCTCAGGAGGCCCAGAACTCCCACGTTTATTGGGTAAGTAGAATACAGAAAACACATAAAAATAAAAAGGAAATAAACACAACTTAAGCAAGTAGTGTTAACATCTGTGTTTCAGTGGCGCTACTGTATTCGTCTTGAGAATTTGGGTAACGAAGTGGTTCAGCTGAGGGAGAGGCACTGGAGGATCTTCAGCCTGTCTGGGACCCTGGAGACGGTCCGAGGACGAGGCGTTGTAGGCAGGGTAAAACACACAAACACAAGTGCAACAACCCTTTTTTTTTGTGTGTGTTTTACAAAAAATATATATTTACCACACCTTGTGGTGAAGTAGTGTTTAGAGTTCTGGTTCTGTGTGACTGGGCCATTTCAGTCCATTTTGGGTCCCAGCCTGATTGGGCTTACTGTCGCTGCAGAGATAAAAGCACCTGCAGCACAAAGCAGGAGGAAATGAGGACAGGAGAACTTATTTCTAGCAGCAGAGCGAATAGGAAGATGATTATTTGATAGGGATGTCCCAATACCACTTTTTTCACTTCCGATACAATACCGATATTACAGCTTTGAGAATTGTCCGATACCAATATTGACCCGTTACCATAACAGTACAAGTCACACACTTTTACCTATTTTGTAATGAAAAAATCTTAGAAAAGTCTTGATCAGGTCAAACAGTGAAAAGAGTAGATATGAGAAAAATTTACCCATTTATTTTTAACCAATGGATGACACATTTTAAACTGAAGAACATTGTACAATTTAATAAAATAGATACAATTAATTAGAAGACCCTGAAAAATAAAACATAATAAAAACAAAATGTACTTTTAAAGTATAAAATAACAATTCAAAATCACTTTGGTTATTGTTTTACTACCTGTCAGCCTGGTGCTGCTTTATGGTGGAAAAAACTGAAGGTGGGGACAAAACAAAAGCCCACATTATTGTCTGTTCAAAGTTAAGAGTCCACAGCTCCTATTTTACTGACTGTAACTAAAACAACATGATCATTGCACTTAATCTTCACTCAAACAAGTGTGTAAACAGATTAAACATCACTCTAATAACGAGCAAAAAATCAATAGTAAGAATTAGTCAGTTATTTAAATTGATAGCTACCTTTCTTACTGCTGTATTTTCTGAGCATCATGTGGAGATCAGCCTCTCTCTCCTGCAGGGAGCAGTTTTTATCACTGCTCTCGTCATGTCGCTCGTATTCCAAAACAAACGCTGCGCTCTCCTTTCTTCTGTCAATCAATCCCAGAGCTAATCCATGGGATGTCAAAACTGTAAGCGTGCTGTCCTCGCTTCTGMCAGCTYAGAACCACCGACCGGACCAGAGAGGAGGTTCTGAAACAGCRCRRCTGTGTGCGGTCACTGGACCGAGGCTGAACGAACCGAGCCGAAACACAAAGCTGCTGCCAGGGTGGAGAGTAGTTGTAGCTCTGGTTTAAAACGTTCACGGTTCTGTGTTCCCCCTCGGAAAACTTGTGCGTGACAACTTTGCACTTAGCTTCAACTCTGTTTCTGATGAAAATAGAAAGTTCTGCCGACATTCTTGCTAACTTGTTAGCACAGCATGTTGTTGTGATCACGTGAGCGCTGCATGCTGGATCCAAGCTCTGCTGGATAGAATCACTGGAGCGGAGTCAGTGAACTGCTGGATTGAACTGCTAATATCGGAGCGCTTATATCGGACATTTTTTATGCAGACTGATAAAATCCGATACTCATTTTTTGGCTGATATCGGACCGATATCAATATCGTATCGGGACACCCCTATTATTTGATGTTATTTATTGTTTTTTAACGTCCTGTTAAATAAATTTGAAACTGTTTTTGAAAAACTCCATAAAACTTGGAAAACATCTGTGAGATTGCTCTATACATCCTTACACACATTCACCTGCCCAAATTTGCCTTTTACGTGCCCCGGGCAGTTGGGTAGTAATATTTGTTAAGCCCTGCCCCTTTTTAAAGTGACTTTCCTCCTGATTCAACTCAGTAATGAAGATGGCTGCAGAAGAATGTCATAAACAGCCTGAGGCTGTCCTTACAAACTGAAGCCTCTTAAGACATTTGACCGTGACGTATTTAATGTGTGACGGACGTCTGCCTCGTATCAAACAAAACAAACTGATCTCAAGAATTTGACATCAGCCAATCTACCATCTGGAAAATAGTTTACAAGTAGAGGACATTCAAAACAACTGCAACCATGCCCAGGTCTGTCCGTCCAAACAAGTTCACCACAGAGCAGACCGTAAGAAGTTAAAATAAGTCATAATAAAACCTAAAACTGCAGGACCCACAGCAGCCTCTTGTTACTGTCGATATGAAACTGCATGACTCATCTATCAGAAAGACATGTTTAATTTGCATGGGAGGTGTACAAGTATGAAACCTTTGCTCTTTATGAAAAACATTAAAGGCAGACTGAAGTTTGTCAGGGAGAACACAAAGACTACGACTTCTGGAATAATTTTATGTGGACATATGAGTCTAAAATTGTTGTACCTGCAAGAAAACCCTCAAACATCTGACAGCTGAACCAATTCTGTGTTGATGAGTGAGGCAAACCTTCAGAGTGATGTCAGAGATGAGCAACACTGTTAGAGGGTAGGGTGTCCTAACATTTCCTCCACTATAATCTGCTTTTTTCTTCATATCTTTTGCTTCATGAGTAAAACAATGTCAATTTTTGTTGTTTAATTGCAATTAATTCCCTTTTTTCCCAGGAATAAACAAAAACAAGATTGGACATTAATATGTGAACATTTCTTAATAAATTAAGGCCTATTTAATCTTATTTTTTCACACGACTGTAACTCCTCACAATGACTTTGTGGCCTTGCTCACAGCTAACGTAACATTCTCCTCTCAGTTGTCTTTATTCTGACTGAACACATCGAGGAGAAATGAGGAGTACTTGTTGTCAGTGTTTGACAGTGTAACAGCAGTTTTTCTCTTATTAAAGGAGCCAGTGCTATCTAAGGAACAACCAGCCTTCCAGTACAGCAGCCATGTGTCTCTACAAGCCCCCAGTGGTCACATGTGGTGAGTTCACTATCACACATCCCACTCAAAGTTTGTTTTGTGCATGAAGTTGATGAGTTCCTGCTAACATTCACCTATACCAGTTTAAAGAGCCTGTGACATGTCCATCCATCAAACACACAAAGTCAAAGAAAACACATTTTTATATAAGAGACCTTGCATAAAACGTGATTTTTACCCATTTTGTCACATAACTGTTACATTTTCGTTTGAACTTGGCTCAGCCAAAGTGAAACAGGAAGTGACATCAAAGGGAAACTCTATAAGAAAGACAACTCTGTAATCTTTGTTTATTAAAACAATATTATCTGAACTCTGACTCTTTATCTCTCTGACTCAAAATAATGTAAAGAAACATCAGATTCTTCTCTACAGTCTGGGTTGTAACAACGCTCTGTTTACATTCAGACATTCCCCTGTGACATCACTTCCTGTTGCTTCACATGCAAATATCTCAACTGTTCGTCTCAGCAGAGGGAAATCGTTTGTGCAATATGCTAATAATGTTATCTTTCCAATAAAGCCTTTCTGTTTAATTAAAAATTTCATGTCACAGCCACTTGAAACTTAAGTCATGTGTTTGAAACTCTTCACATGTTGTAGTCAGTCACTCAGCCTTGTCTTTGTGCAGGGGAACGTTTCGTATTGAAAGATCTGATGGCTCGCACTTTGATGTCCGCATCCCTCCTTTCTCCCTGGAAAGCAACAAAGACGACAAGGCGCCCCCTGCTGGCTACACGTTTTAACAGCGAGTTCTGTCAACGAAGCCTCGGACACCTTCCCAGTCCTGATCAAGTTATTTACAGTGTCTCCTGTCACATTACGCTGAGGGAAGATGTAAGGGTGGTCTAGATGATCCAGATGCTGTTCCACCTAGCTTTTCTTCTGTTTGAACGCACCGAACAGTCTGTGTTGGATGTAAATGACAGTAGAAGCTCTGCTGCACGGACGTGTACAGTGAAACGTAAGATCAAACTGATGCTGCCAAATTGAACAGGATGGATTCAGACGAGCAGTGAAATGTTGGGCAGGAGGTTTCACAAAGGTGTTGAGTTTTAAATCAGAGCCTCTTGTCTTCAAAACAGTTTTTTAATTGATGCCCAAAACCCATATAAGCTTAGAGTTTATAGCAACATATCAGCCCCTTTGCTCTGAACCTCTTCTTGTCCTGCTTTATAAACAACTTGAATACACCTCAGTTATGTTTGTTCACTGGAAGTCATGTGGAATGGGGAGAAGACTGGTTTTCAGTGCAGTGAACCACACTTTGGGACTAAATAGACTTAATGTTTAAATAATGTAAAATCTCTGTAAATCAGAATGATACAAATCATAATTCAAAGAATAATAATAAATTATTCTTGAGCAGAATCTGTGACAGCTTTCATCTGTGAAGAAAGGTTTTTAACTTTTCACACATCAGTTCTGTTTTATCAGGAAAAAGAAATCCTTATGAAAACTACATTTATTTTTGTTTTAAAGGGATCCCAGATTAGTTGTAACATTAGACTTTATTTAATAAACATATGTGAGCCATCACATCGAAACGAGGATCAAGTCCAAAAGTGGGAAATGGAGAAATAGACAAATATAGTGTTTTGACTAAAATGTTAACAAAAATGGCATTTTGTCAAAATATAATGAATAAAAGCCTTATTAATGTATCATTGAATGAACTGTCTGAAATATATGGAGAAATAGGCAAATATAGTGTTTTGAC